ATAGTTGTTATAGGGTTTTTATCCTGGAATAATTTTACTTTAATTTATCATAGGTTTTTTTTAACCAATGAGTTAATTAGAGTTTTGGATGAAGATGATGTTAGTTATTGTTTTTTTTTAAGTGTGCGTAGTTAAAAAATTTATTATATTTTTTGTGGGAAAAATCATTATGGTAATAGGTTATACTTTTATTCATAAAGAATTGTATAAATGGTTTATTTTTATGAAATATAATTTTTGTCACGTATTTGGTGAAGTTTCCCATGTTTTTTGTATTTTTTTATTTAAATAAATTGGCATATGATATCAAATTATTGGTAATTTTGGTGTGTTTGACTTGTGTTTAACATAACTTAATTTGATACAAGCCTAAAACTTTATATGTATTCAACTTTATTTGGTTTGATGCGAATTCGAATCCAATAAACTAGATATAGGTCTAACACAACTATAACTCAAATGTCAAACTTCATAATGATGCCTAATATGAACTTATTTAGAAATTTATTGGATTAATAAATCTAGATTCAATTTAACTCAATATAAGGTGAGTCCAAGTTGATTTGAGAAGAATTCAAAATGACTCAATTTGATGTGCGTTTTGTTAAATTTATCGATTATGATGTTAATTGGGAAGATACAACACTAATAAGATCTGAACCCAACCAAATAAAGAAGTAACATCACCTCTTAACCAAAAATCTTAAAATAATGAGTTATTGGGTTTTCACATATGGTGTTTCATTTTCTTATTTTTTTTTATTAATGTAGGACTTTGACTCATATTTATATTCCCAACACATTTAACATGACTTAATTTGATTTAAGCCTAAAACTTTCATGGATCCAACTTTATTTGCTTTGATGCAAATCCAAATCTAATAAACTCAATGTAGGTATAATACAATTCTCTTCAATGTCAACTTAATTCAACTCAGTCTAAAACTTAGTTTCCGTCAACACAACTTTAATTTGGTGTGACTTAGTTAAACTTGACTTAACTCAGTTTAGAGTAAGTTCATCTATCACGGGATCAACTTGTTGGGTTTATCGAAGAGGTTCACCCGGGAGACACAAACACTAATGAGATACAAGTCAGACCATACAAAAGATTGACATCACTCTCTACCCAAAACCTCAAGACAATAGATTAATGGGTCTTTCATCTTTATATAGTGCTCTACTTTCTCATTTCTATCCAATGTGAGACTTAGACTCACACTTGGATTCCCAACAATCTCTCCCTCAAGGGTGAGTCTCTTCCACATAGGTATACTCCCCCTCCAGCGGAAGTATTCCCAACCATCCACAACCACGAGTACCCCTTCATACCACCGTTCATCTTAACGGGACACACTTACATGGAACCCTTTGCCAGAAAGACTTTCTATATAGGGACCATTATACTCGTTTGAGCCGGTCACCAAGACAAACCATCAACTCTGATACCACTGTTAGATCTATCGATGAGGAAGTTCATCGAGAAGACACAAACATAAATAAGATATAAGGTCAACCATATAAGGGATTGATACCACTCTCTATCCAAAATCTTAAGGCAATAGGTTAATGAGTCTTTCATCTTTATATAATATTCTACTTTCTCATTTCTATCTAATGTGAGACTTAGAATCACGCTTCCATCCTAACACAACTTTGTTCTAATAAATTTTTATCAACATTATAGTTCTATGAGCTTGATTTTAATTTTTTAAGCTTTGTAAACTATTTTTAATTCCCTCTGGGCTATAGCGTTGTGCCAAATTCACATATGTATCCACTCATGTAATAAAATTATACTGTTTTAATCTTATCGGTTGATCATTGGCTTGGTGCTGCAATATTTTAAGGCATGCACACGCATTCACATATAACACAAACTAAAGTATTCAACTTGGTATGTGATAGTGCAACATTAACGTTTAATTTTGTTTATCAACCAAAATGTTTTTAATGTAAAAGTATAATAAATAAGTTATTATATTAGTATTGTCCAAACAGATTAAGTCAATTTTGTAAGTTAAACCCACAACGTTAAATAATAATTTATTTTGTATTTTCTAATTGTATTCTTTTAAATTGGATTAAATATGAAATTTAACATCATTTTAAATTATATTTAAATTAAAGTTTTTTAAAATTTCAATTAGAAAAGAATTATTACTTTTTAGAATTAAAGAAAATGTAATTAAATAAATTAGTGAACTAATGTATTTAGTTCATCACTAATGGTCCAGACGGGAGTTAAATTACTTATTTTTGGACAACACGAATTAATATAATACCTATATCTTTAAATAATGAAACATGTACCAGATGACTTGTTTGCAAAATAACTGCTTTGTTTATTTTGTTTCTATCACCAATCTACTATAAAATTATATTTAGACTGTATTAATGAAAAAAAAGTAACAACAATTTTCAATAATTTTTATGTCTAATAACTTGTTAGAGATATACAATATCTAATATCTTATATTTTTTTTTATAAATATCATATTTGAAATCATAAATGAATTACTCGGAAGAATAACCCCCTATATTCTAAAAGTATAAAATTTTATTCTAACTTATAACTTTTACTAAAATCCTATATTTAAATGATGTAAATAACATATTCCTATGTTTTACATATAGAATACATTCCTTCATGTTCTATAACAAAAAGTTTAAATAAGAATAAATTAAAAATTGAACCTTGATATATTTAGGGTTTAAAATTAAACTCTAAACACTCTGACATCCTAGATTATAAGAAACTTAATTATAAATTGTTAGAATAAATTAAACTTTTTTATTAAAGGATCTCGATGGAGGAGAATGATTGATATTGTTGACATAATGCAACGAAGGAAAAGGAGCACAGTCAAGGAAGAAAAGAAAAGTTCACATACCAAATGAAAAGCGAGATGGAACATATTAGTCAACCAATATAGAATTTGTTTCGTCTTTCAACTACATAAATAACCACATTAATTTTGTCTAAATCATATCTAAAAAATAAATATTAGATATTTTGTCTATATAATTTCAATATCCATAAAAGTATTATTATATTAAAAAAAATTAAAAGAGAGATAACATAAATTTTTACCTTTTACGTCGTGATAATGAAAATGCAAATAGATATAACCATAATGTTGTGTTTATTGACATGCATACGAAATTAAATTATATTATATTTTAAAATAATAATAATATTTAATATTAAAATATGTAAATTTATTATTTATTAATATATACAATTATGGGCAATTTAGATTAAACTAGATTATAGAAATTTATAAATTATTATCATTATAAATGTTCATAATGTATAATTTAGTTCAATTTAATAAATTTATATAATTTTATAAATAAATATACATATTATAATAAATAAATTTACATATGATATTATAGGAAAATCGAAAGTGCAATCACGGTCTATGTAATACAGGTTTTGCATCATAAACCACAAATTTAGTGTTCTAGATTGCCTCTTATATTGCATAATTTAAACAATTAACAGAATAATTAATACACATAATTTTAATAAAAAAAGACGGTATTATACAACCCTTTCATTTATGTAATGAAACATGTTGCATAATTAGTTGGTTATCTGTGTCATGTAACTTGGTTTATTTTTTCTTAATATAGATTATGGAATGAAACAAGTGATGTAAAATGTTCATTTCTTATAGTTGCTAGTATATATTAGAAAATTCAAAAGAAAAATATTTCCTCCATTCCACACATTGTTGTCAGAAGTGATTTTTGTTGACAGTCTGTGATTCGTGATATCTTCCATGTTTTCTAGCATTTTATGCTGCAAATTAAAGTGTTGCCACAATTTTTTGTCATTTGAATAAGTGTTAATACTAACTATTATCTATATGAGCTACTAGCTTTGTTAAACTCTGTTACATTATCTTTTGCGCAAAGTCTATTATTAATTACTTTGAAGATTCTTCAATTTATGATCATTGAAAGTTTGTTGATATAAGAGAATTTAAAGAAACAAAATATGTAAAATAAAGAGGGGAAAGTGTTAATGAAAGAAGGGAAATGAAATAATATATACAGGGGAAAGGAAGAGAAGAGAGAAGAGAGAGGGAAATAACGAAAACGAAAAAGGAGAAATAGTTGTGTGAGACTAATATGATATTTTTACGTGCTACAACACTTGTTAAAATTTTATAACCATGAGCACTAAAATAAAATTAAAAGGGTTTGATAGGAACTAGCAATTGATGCTTAAGTGTAAAATTGGTGAATAATAGAAACTAAAGCAACTAAAATGCTTTTATGAGATATTGAAATCCAGTTGTTTATCCTTAACATTATCTAATAATTAATAGAAGAAAACAAATATTTTCACACAATTTTTTTTATGATATTTTGATACAGTATATATATATTTTTTATTGATTCATTATTTATTTATTATTTTACCTACTTTAAACTCAATAAAAAAAATGCTAAATATTGTAAAAAAAAAATTGTATTAATATATCATTACCGCCATGAACGAGAAATATATATAACATGGTATATTAAGTTGATATGCTTTTATAAATAAATAATTATTTTAAAATATTAAATAAAAATAAATTAGGTAAAAATAATTGTATGAGGGAACGAAGGATTTTCTTACATACTGTACATAAATTAGGTTAAAAGGCGGAAAATACACGTAATGTGGATAAAACGGAGCATTTTTTGTAAGGTTTAGAATGGTTGCTGGAAACTAGAGAGAAGATGTATCTTTCAAAACAAAAAAATAAAAATAAAGAACAAAAGAAGAGAAGGTGCATCCACACATAATCATATAATATAAGATAAAACGTTGTATCGTACCTGAAATTTGCATGGTGGTATCTTGTCGTGTCGTGCATGACGACGAAAATCGTTATCCGCCGCCATCACTACGAGCTCACCCTCTCCCTACGCCTTCCACGTGTCACCCAAACTTCCTTTCCCCACAGATAATATCATCTCTTTCTCTTTCTCTATATTGAAACCAAAAACTCATCTGATATACAATCATACGCATGTAGTGTAAGTAGATCCTGTTGAAGTCATAACTTTGTGGGTTAGTGAAGAGTGAAAGATGGATCACAGTGCAGATGCTCAACGCACAGACTTGATGACCATAACCCGTTTCGTGCTGAACGAACAGTCGAAGCAACCTGAGGCTCGTGGCGATTTCACAATCTTGCTCAGTCACATTGTTCTTGGCTGCAAGTTCGTTTGTTCTGCTGTTAACAAGGTTCTTCTTTCTTATACCCTCCTACTAATTCATTTCCTGTCATTTCATTACCACTCTTTCATGTTCAATATATGCATGCCACCCTTTCATTGATCGACTTCATATACAATTACCAACCTGCATATATATAGTCATAACAAAACTGCATCATTGCTATCATGAATCAATGATTTTCAGGTGAAAAACCATAAACAAACAATGTGTATATGCGTTTTTGTATATTATTTGACATATATATACTTGTATTTTACTTGATTTTTTATGAATCGGAGATATGAAAATTTTAATTATAAGAGTTGATTACGCAGGCGGGTCTTGCTAAGCTTATTGGGCTTGCTGGAGAGACAAATGTCCAGGCAAGTGGTTGATAAATAAATCTTATAGTTATGCATACTATTCCAGCATGGTAACTTTCTAATGTGTGATTCTTTGATCCTCTTTGATTATTATTATTATTTTTATTTTATTTTTATTGAATTTGTTTCTTAATTATCTGGAATGAAGGGTGAGGAGCAAAAGAAACTGGACGTCCTTTCCAATGATGTCTTTGTCAAGGCTCTGGTCAGCAGTGGACGAACAGTAAGTCATCAATGTTGTCAAGACTCTCTCTATCCACAGACATTTTGTTGATGGGTTCAGATATTTTTTGCAGTGCATCTTGGTGTCTGAAGAAGATGAGGAAGCAACATTTGTGGAGCCTTCTAAGCGTGGAAGGTTGTTAACCTATCTATAATCTAGAGTGTTCTTCCCAAATATTTATTTAGCTTCATTTTCCTCAGTCTAATCATTTAGTACCATTTTTTTTTTATTGTGCAGGTACATAGTTGTTTTTGATCCGCTGGATGGTTCCTCTAACATCGATTGTGGTGTTTCTATTGGCACAGTATGGTCTCTCCTCCGAAATGCAATCCATGTTCTTCTCTTTCCATTATATATATATATATATATATATATATATACTCACACTCACTCACACACACACACACACATTATATACCGCATGAATAAGTAATATTCCAGATTAACTATAATATTGCAGTTTTCAATTGAGTGTGTTGTGTTGCATGTAGATTTTTGGGATTTATTTGGTGAAAGAAAACCGTGAACCAACCATAGAAGATGTTTTGCAACCCGGGAAGAACATGTTGGCTGCTGGTTATTGTATGTATGGAAGCTCTTGCACGGTATGGTAAATTTAATCCCAGTTTAAGTTTCTCTTCTTTTTTTCCCTTAGACAGTTTCAATTTCTTCTCTTTTGGGGTCATCTTATTACTCTGTTTACGATAACTTTTTAAGGTGGGTATCCAAGTCAGTGATCAATTTTTACTCTCAATAGATAATAGTACATTGTGTCGGTACAAATTTTTGTATTGACTTGACTATTTTTATATGAAAGGATAAGCTCAGTTTCTTTTGTTTTGTTTGTTTTCCTGTGCGCCTGTGGACTGAGTTGTCGTATGCTTTAATTTTAATTCATTCCAAAATTACAAATTTTTTAATCACTAATTTGGGACATTTTTACAGTTTGTGCTAAGCACCGGAAGTGGCGTGAATGGTTTCACCCTTGATCCATCTCTTGGAGAGTTCATTCTTACTCACCCTGACATCAAGGTATTAATCTACCAGTTCATCAATAACTATTGCACATTGCTATTCTCTCTCGAAATGCTCTTGCTTGGGGACTCAACTCTTTAAAAGGTCACAGAGTGCTTTATATTCAATTTTACACACTAAAATCTCACTCCAAGTTTTTGTTTTATCCTTGAATCTTCCCCGAGGATTGACTTGTACAGTGCTTCAATTTGGGTCCAAGTTTCATCAATCAAGAAGGAGATGTGATGCGCTATATTAGGCCATATGAACTTGCTAAATTTATTTTCATCTTGGTTAAGATGATAATTCATTTATCACCCTGTCTCTTGAGCAAATATTTGATCTATTTATACAAGAAACTACTTAGTTAATGGACAGGATATATCTCCTCGAAAAATCTCTATTTAGGAAGTCGTAAACATCTATTTGTTGAAAGGAAATACCTGTTTAAACCCTTTGAAGTTAAGAATAAGACTCCATCTATCTATCTTTCAATGAGAACATAATGAATGAGTTGTCATACAGAGTTTTAAGATTAAGACTGATCTTTATTGAAGCCATCTGTGACATGCTTGAATCATGTTAATTGCCTGATGTATGGTTCACCATTCAGGTCCCGAAGAAAGGAAAAATATATTCAGTGAACGAAGGAAATGCTAAAAATTGGGATGGTCCTACTAGCAAGTATGTATAAATCCAATCCAATAGTGTTAAAATGTCTCAGACACTGCAAGGAAACTTATGAGTTGTGACACTTTCCTTTCTTGCATCTGTTCAGGTATGTGGAAAACTGCAAGTTTCCAAAAGACGGTTCATCACCAAAGTCCTTAAGATATGTTGGAAGGTATATATATATATATATATATATATATATATATATATATATAGACTATAATGGATTCTCAGTCCTTCAAGGAGTTTCATTGCTAGAGTATAGCATGTTTTTGATTTACAGTGTGATAAAAAACCTTCAAAATCACGGGGGCTACTTCAAAACCATGTTAAAAGCATAATTTTTCCAATGCAACAATGTGTTGCTTCACATTCACCAACACGCTGTTAGTCCTCGTATAGTTGCCCTGCAACCAAGATGTGGCTACTGAATGACTAACTCATATGTATCACTTGATGACATTGCTTTGTCTGTATTTGTATGATTAACAGCATGGTAGCTGATGTTCACCGCACATTTCTTTATGGAGGTATCTTTCTGTACCCGGCTGATAAAAAGAGTCCAAATGGGAAACTTCGGTATGCCATTTTCAATCAGTATCTAATTTCTTGAGTAGCATATGCAATATTCCTACACTGTTTATGGTTTAACAGAAGAAATTAGTGCAAAAATTATCTTTGATTGGTGCAGTGTTCTCTACGAAGTCTTCCCAATGTCATTCTTGATGGAGCAGGCAGGAGGGCAGGCTTTCACTGGCAAGCAAAGGGTAATTTTACCAAAAACAGTTTTTAAGTTCTGTCATATGGCTTTCTTCCTGTTTTGGTTTAAGGAGTTAGCACTCACTGCCACTGCATTAGCACACTGATAACCCCTGCATAATTAGTAACGATGAAGTTGTGCACCAGAAATTTGTGTCTTGTTTTCTGTTCTCTGATATAGATGTATATGTATATGTATGTGAACAGGCACTTGATTTGGTTCCAACAAAGTTGCACGAGAGATCTCCCATATTCCTTGGTAGCTATGAGGATGTAGAGGAAATCAAAGCCCTTTATGCTGCTGATCAAAAATTGGAATGAAAGAAACCATAATTCTTTGTCTTTTTCAACTTACAATCAAGTCTCATCTAATTGTTGCACAGATACATGGTCATGTATATGCCAAGAAGGCTTGTTAATGTTTTTGTGATTTACAAAAAGTATTATATTACGTCATATCTAAATACATTTTAATCTAATATTTTCAATATATAGCAATATTTTAATTTTTTTAGATAGTTTTTTTTACGATTTCTTAATTATTATAATGTTAAAATTGCATTTTTGTCTAAATTTGTAATATTTTATATTTGACATTTTTTAGTTTCTCATCGTTGAAATGTTCTTACTAGATTTTTTTTATATGTTGATATTTGTTTATAAAGTGATATGGTATGTTAGTGTTTGTTTCTTATAAATGTATGATTTTGTGACAATTTATGACGAGTGGATTTTGTCAATAGACGTAAAACCCTTAACATAGTTTAATTGATTTTAATTATATTTATTGAACATATTTCTATAATGTTTTTTAAAGGAAGTCTACTAATAGAATTTTTTCTTCCTATAGTTTCATTTTAATAATTAACCATTGGATGGAACAATATGTCATGGGATAATAAGATTAAGAGGTAGTGTTACTTTTTCTTTTTTCTTAATGAACAGGTAAACTAACATTCAATCGTCATTATTGATAATAAATTTATTAACCTCTACACGCTAACTTATTACATTTGATTATTGTGTTTTACTTAATTAATAAATAAATAAATAAATTATTCACAAAGGTCAAATTTTAACATTTATTAATTAATTAAAATTACATAAATAAATATGCCATGACTTACGCCAAGCAATAAAAACAAGAAAATATTTATAATATGTTCGACATAGTTGACCAACTTAGTTAAAACTAGTGAATAGTTGAAATTTGGTAAATTAGAAGGGAATTTATTTTAAAATAAGTACGTTTCCATGCAAAATTAGAATTAATTTTATTAAAAATTAATATATTGATCCAAAATTTTAAAAACAAATAAATATTTTTAAAAATTTAATTACATTAAATTTATTTAACATATCAAATGTTTTTTTCACTGATATTAAAACCATAACATATCAAATATCATAAATAATTTAAATATTAATATTAAACATGTTTTACACATAAAAAATAATATTAAAATAAATATATTTATTTGTTTTTAAAATTTAGATACTAAAATATATTAAAATTTCATATATAAAAAAATTGTGTTTGACATATAAAAGAATAATATTAAAATAATTATTTATTTACTTTCAAAATTTAGAAACTAATTTTATGGACAAAATTTAATTTTGTGTCAAAATTCAAAATTTAAAAACATATTTAATTCTAAAAATAAAGATTTAAAAGGGAATAAATAGAAAATTGATTTTATTTTTTTTAAATCGGACGAGGTCTTTCTTTGAACTAAAAGATTGAATATTTGAGGAACTTGTTTGATTTCAATGAAAAGTTTAAATAACGTTTATTTATCTTCAATTTTATTTATTTTATCTCAAAAAAGAAAATATGTAGAAATATGAAGAAGAAAAAGAGAAGCATGAAATCTTGTATTTATGTATTTTCGCATAATAACTCCATACAGAAATCTAATAACTCGATTAAATTAGTTTTTTTACATTCAATTTTTTTTTGTAAGACTAACAATAAAACTATACTAGAGACCTATATATACATAGATCTTAAACTATGCAATATCTTTTATGACACAATTTTATCGTAAGAATCACTGTAAACACTTGAGTCAATAACATACAAGAATTTGGTAAAATAAAACAAGATCATTTAAAATACTTTTTGAAAGAAATGAAAAAGAAAGACAAATAGATGATGATTCTCTAACCAATAATCTTCAAACTTTTGATATTGTGAAGAGACTCAAAAATATATATTTTAGATATGTAAAGTTCTTTTTACGTATTTAATATATTCTAAAATTTTCTCATTTATACATAATGATATGATTAATATGCTAAAACAAAATTGAATCCATTTTGATGTTCTTTGGATAGACAAAAACATTTTAGTGAACTAATTTGAATTTTTAATCCATTGAAATTATTAAAAATATCTAAAAAACTTTAATCAATTAAATGTGAGAGCTTACAACAAGTTCGCTAGTGGAATTAATCAACTAGATGTTAATTTTAAATAATTAAAGTTATATTTTTTATGAGCTACTTGAAGATTTTTATTATTAATTTATTTTTAATTCATTAAAAACCTTCTAACCTTTAAGAAAGCAATTCAAATTGGTTCCTGTAGATACTCTTATTAATAGAGGGGAATATAATTATTTAAAGATATACATAAAGATTATAAGATGAAACTAACACCAAACATCCAAATTAAGATAAACAAAGCCTTTCATTTTTTCTAATTATCTTGTTGTCTTTTTTTTCTTTAATTTCTCTCTTCATCCTCTCAAATAATATGAATAATTTTCTTATCTTTTTTCTTAATATAGACTCTATTATTAAATAATATGAATAATTTTCTTATCTTTTTTCTTAATACAGACTCTATTATTTAGAGTTATTAACATGACTCGTGACCATAAATCAGTTTTAATTTATTTTAAAATAAGACTTTTTTAAGAGACTCTTCAGTTTTAATTGTGTCTTTCCTTCACCTCAACACTTCAAATCTGCAACCCATCTTTCTCTTCAAGTCCAAAAGGAAACTACCATGGATGGAGGAAGAAACCCAAGGAGGAGAGAGAGAGCTTCCCAACACTTCAAACAACCTTCAAGATCTTTTCCCAAGCATCCTAGGTGATTTTATTCGTCTAAAAATGATGGATGATCAAAACCCTCGCGAAAACGTGATTAAATATCCTCTCTCACGTATCATGGCCGACAAAATTGTTCGTATTATTCTTTTTATGCTTAATTCTTGTGAGATCTAAAGGTTTATTGACTGCTTGGTTTATGACTGACCGGACAGTCATACTATACACATATACTTTTCCATTTAATTGTTCGTAATATTGTTTTCATGCTTAAATCTTATTGTGGCTTGATCACCATGACTTATAATTGGTTCTTTAGGTGTTGAAAAATATCTTTTATAACCTATAAATTAAACAAAGTATCTAATGGAGTTTGTATTTAGGAATAAAGTATGATTTATTAGTAATTTTATACTACTGATCTTAACACATGTTGGTTTGTTAAGGATTTAAAGGATTGAAACTTAATAAAGAAACATAGACTCAAGTTGTTAAAGATTAAGATTTGAGTAAATTTTTGAGTTAATTTTAACATGAAATTATAATTAAATTGATTGCGTATGCTTGAGAGTGAGAATGAAATTGGTGAAATATAATCCTAATAATATACTTATCTATAATTTCTATGCTTGAGAGTGAGAATGAAATTTGTGAAATATAATCCTAATAATATACTTATCTATAATTTCTATTTTAGTATGTATGTCAAGTGTTTGATAAAAATACACATTTCTTTTTATAATTTATTATTATTATTAAATATAAGAAATATTTATTATTTGCTATATTAGAACATATATACTTTGTCACTTAAAACTAAATACACTAACTATATATATATATATATATATATATATAAACATGTATGTATACATGTACGTGTATTTATTATATTGAGATATGAAACATGTAATAATCTATAATCCATTAATATACGAAAAAGTTTCTAAAATTGACTATATCTTTAAATTAAAAATTAAAATATATCTAATGAGAAGATGGATAATAGTTTTATTAGTTATTTTGTTATTTAAAAACACACCATAAAAATATTTATGGATAACATTAATTAATTTTCAAGTTTTACTTTTAATAATAAATAACTTAATGCATTTTTATTTATTAAATTATAAATTATAAACATTTATAACTAGAAACTCCACTAATATTTCTTTATAACATTTTTGAAATTATTCTCTCCTAATCAAAATTATCACTTCTCTTTCACTTAGAATATTATCATATAGTTAATCTATTTATGTTATAAAATTTAAATTTTCCTACAATATGTACATACTTGTACATTTTATACAGAATACACGTTGAAAACATTGGAATACAACTTTTTAATTATGATAATTCCATTTCTTAAGAAAAAGTTTATTGTCTCCTCTGTAAACCTAACTTAAAAAAATTCATTTTCTTAATTTTATTCATCACTATTGTTTCCTAGAAATAATCTATGTATATTATTTTTTTCAAAATTTTAAATTTTGCAATTTGTTGACTCTATCAAACAAATTAAAATTATATTATTTAGTATAACAGAATATAACGTGGAGACACATTCCCTTTCGCTTTACATTTCTCGATGCAGTTGAAAACTATTTCTAATCATGTAAAGCTATTGGACGAGTGTGTAGAACACACGCACCCGTTCCAATACTATTTGAGACGATGCATTTTCAAATGTTACTAAAAAATTCTCCATTTTTGTCGCGTTCTAAAAAGGAGCGTTGTAAATTTATTTATCAGAACTCTGATTCCTTACACTTTCCTCCAATAACAATATACTACTATCAGATTAATAATATATAAAATATAACCCCTTCAAATTATATGGGAGAATGAATAAATTAACTGAAAAGAAGAGAAGAGATACATGAACATGAGATTGTTTGATGCCTAGACTATACTTGTTTTCGAGATTATATTAGATTTAGATATCTTGGACAGTCAAGTTGCAACAAAAAGAGGTCCAACATCATTTTATTCCGATTATAATATATGTTTGGCGCGTTATCTTCAATTATTCTAATAAATTCTCCATGGTATAGTGGAATATAAAATATGTACTGTTCCGAATGCGACACCAACTTGTCTTGGGAGGACCCACTAAATCTCCCAATACATTGAACTGGTTAAGGTTCTTGTTTTTTCATAGTGTGACATCATATGTATAACAACTATTAAACTAAAACTAATTTGACGTATGACACATGCTTCTAGTATAATATATTTATTGTATGATTTTTTAGTTAAAATTATAATTTTAGTTTATTAACTTATCTATTATTGAAAAGAATGAAGGAAATTGTTGCCAATGATACACACTTCTAGTATAACCTGTTTGCCGTCTGATTTTTAAAGTAGGGTTATTAACTTATCCATCATTGAAAGTGAAAACAATTGTTGTAAAAAATGATAATTTTAAGTAAAATTAATGCTACACATACATAAAAAAAAAAGTTTCTAATTTTTCTCTTTTTCATTTAGAGAAAAAAAGAAGAAGTAAGGATATTGCTGGCGTTAGTGTTTATTACATCATTTCTATGCCAGTGTTGAATAAATTAGTGTCTCAATTAATTGATTGATCATTTCTGAAATGTTTCATTAAATGACAAAAGGTGATTCACAGATTAGATGACAGCCTTTTTCTCATCTCATCCTGTATGTTTTTCATTTGGTTTTCCTTATATTCTTCCTTTGTGATGGGGTTCTTTTCAGTTTTCACATCCTTCAACTCTTACTCTGCTTCACAGGAGATGTATCTGTGATCTTCGGTTCTGGATTCTGGGATTGGTTGCATGAAGGTCTTTTTGGGTTTCTGGGAGTGCTGTTCTTTGCATGTTTCGAACAGATAAGTACTTGGCTTCCTTGATGAGCCTTGAAGGTTTCTGATGCTGTTTTTCTGCACTTTTTGAACCCTATTCCTTTGTTTTGCATTTGGGTATTGTTTTGGAGTTGTCCCCTCAGTTGGCGTGTTAGTTTTTGTTTTTATGTGTGTGGATTTGAGATTTGGTCTCTGTGAAATGATGTTTGTGAGACAGATTTATTCCTGTTAAATTGGTGGCTATTTTTAATTGAAAATCAAGAGGGTAATAAACGAAAATGAAGAAGCTGTTGGATGATGGAGCGTGAATGAGTTTGCATGCTTTCAATATATGTTGATAGTGTGAAAAGGGTTGAAGGAAATTGGATTGGAGCTAAGATTTGAGGTCTAATGGGTTCATTGGTCTGATTTGGGTTGTGGTTTGTGCGAAGCAATGGAAGGGAATTTGCCCCAGGGAGGTATAATTCAAGGTGGGACGTCTTTCGGTGGCTTTGATTTGCCGGGATCAATTCGGGTTCAGCATCAAGCACAACATCCACATGCCATGCACCAACATCAAACTCATCCGCGTCAAGGATCTTCTGTACATTCCACAGTTCATGATGTTTTCCCTCTTACAATGGGAACCCTGCAGAACTGTGACCAAACTATTTCAATGACAGAGTTTAGTAAAGAAAACAGAAGTAAAAACTCAGCGAGTGAGGAAGACGAGCCGAGCTTTACCGAGGATGGTGTTGATTGTCACCATGAAGCTAGTAGAGGGAAGAAAGGATCACCTTGGCAGCGGGTTAAGTGGACTGATAAGATGGTAAGACTTCTGATAACAGCTGTTTCTTATATTGGCGAGGATGTGACTGTTGATGGCGGTGGCAGTGGAAGAAGGAAGTTTGCAGTATTACAGAAGAAGGGTAAGTGGAAATCTGTTTCCAAGGTCATGGCTGAGAGGGGTTATCACGTTTCACCTCAGCAATGCGAGGATAAATTCAATGATCTCAATAAAAGATACAAAAAGCTTAACGATATGCTTGGGAGAGGCACTTCTTGTCAGGTTGTTGAAAATCCCGCTCTGTTGGATGTGATAGATTTTCTTTCTGATAAAGAAAAGGACGATGTTCGAAAAATATTAAGCTCAAAACACCTGTTCTATGAGGAGATGTGTTCTTACCATAATGGTAACAGGTTGCATTTACCCCATGATCCTGCATTGCAACGTTCACTCCAGTTAGCGCTGCGAAATAGGGATGATCATGACAACGATGATATGAGAAGGTCCCATCATGACGATCACGGCGAAGATGATCCAGATGTGGAAATTGATGATCATGATGATTTTGAAGAGAATTGTGCTTCTCATGGTGATAGTAGAGGAATATATGCACCATTAGGTGGACCTGTGAAGAAACTGAAACAAGGCCAAGGCCAAGAAGATGGTAATACTTTTGGCAATTCTCTAAATTGTCAGGACTACAACAGAAGTTCGTATCCCCATGGACAGATGGTCCAATCTGATGTGAATCAAGGTTTACCTGAAAGCATGAGAGCAGCTTGGTTACAGAAGCAATGGGTTGAATCTCGCTCACTTCAGTTAGAGGAACAAAAGATACAAATTCAGGTTGAGATGCTGGAACTAGAGAAACAGAGATTCAAGTGGCAGAGGTTTAGTAAGAAAAAGGATCGGGAGTTGGAGAAGCTAAGTCTAGAAAATGAAAGAATGAAGCTTGAAAATGAACGTATTGCTTTAGAACTTAAGCGAAAGGAAATGAGCACTGGCTTTAAATAGGTCAGGACCCTCGCAAGCTTTGTAGCAATTGCATTACATGCATGGTGCTCCATTTTCCTTTCTTTTGCTCTCTTTGTTCAGTTGTTTTTTTAGTTCAAAGTATGGGTTTTTTATTTGGGAACTTTGCAAATCTAACTTTCCCTCTTGCTTGTACGTTTAAGTTTGTCAATAGTAGTGCATAAGGGTTAGACTCTACTGAAGTTTTGTTGCCTATGTTCAAAGACTGTGTAGCTGAAAACCTTTAATCTTTTTAATTTGTAATTTTAAATTTCTGGTATTATTAATTGTCTCTCCTTCCAGTTATCTTACAGCCTGTATTTCTTCTTCTGGTTATTTCTTTGTTTTCTTCGTTCTTTGAAATCATTCATGTCCCTAATATAATGAGAATAAGTTTTTTTTTTTTTTTTATTGTTGAAATCATGTCTACTGCTCATAAACTTGGGTCACTTGCATCTTTTAAAATTCTGATAGAGTATCAGTGCTCTCTCTTGGAGAGAGCAGTGATTCTGCGGTAAAAGCAGAGAAAGAGGTAGAAGTGAAGTTGTGGTAACAGAAGATCTGTTGACGCATGTAACAACAATAGATTGGAGGAAGTTACTGAAGATTCTTGCAAAGAAGAAACACCAGTGGAGGAAGATTTCATTCACTTGTGCAAGGACGCAACAGAAGCGGTTGCACAATGGAATGGAATTGAGCAACAATGAAGGAGCAAAGGATCTCGTCTTCAAAAAGATTTGCTCCACTGCCACAATTCATTCTGTCTTCCATGTGCAAGATTCACTTAATCTTGGTTTGCACTTGAGAAGTATGAATCAGTGACAACAACCTTGTAATGTCATCTATCAACCAGAACCTTTGTTCTTTTTTCCTTTTTTGTAGTTGCCAGTGACATCTTCATCTTCTTTACCAATGGCGCCCCCTCCTCCCCCATTGACTTTTCCTGTGTTTTACTTCTCCATTGAACTCTAGTCTTTCTTGGGTGCCATTGGCAACACCCTAGAAATGCTCCTCAAAATCGCAGCGTAGAATAGAAGAGTTCAAATTGGGAAAATTCATTAGGAATTGTGAGAAATTGGAGGAGCTTTCTAGGAATTGCATTAGCAACATCTATGGAATTTCCAGAGTCAGACCATTTTATGCAAATAATACATTGCAATGAAATGCCATATGTTCTGATGTATGTGACTTGTTTCTAATGCAGAAAAGTTGTAGATTTCTTTTACATTGTCCTAAAGTCAGTAACATTTGAAACAGTAATCTTGGTTGTGTTCTTCTTTTGAATCTTTTAGGTCTTCTGTGCTTGTAGGAGTTTGTCCATTTTGTTTAAAGGGTTGGACAATGGTAGGTGGAAAGAGTTTTATGGTATTGTGTCATTGTAAGCTCTGTGTCTTTGGCTGTAGTGAAGTACTCAGGTTTTGGGGGGAATTTTCTTAGTCAAGGAAATCATAAGTATATAAGGTGGTTTAAGAGGAAAGAGGGTGAATTTTTTTGTTCCTTTTATGAAATATATGCCATCTTTGCTTGTGATGAAATTGTGCTCGCTGTTAAATTGCTTAAGCTACAAAGTTCATGCATGGTGTCATCAATTTATCTCATTCAATTACATAAACATAAACCACATGTAGATAATGCAGAGTTCCATCCTATTTAGTCGTTACCACAGTGCATGTATATAGTTTTGTTGCTTTATTATTTGATTTTTTAACCTTAGGAAGGTATAAAACATTGGTTACTACGATCAAACTCCTGGTCATCAAGTCAATGATTAGGTAGACTTGGAAATACTTTTAAAGGATGAACAAATCACTGACCTAACTTGTGCTGAAAGTTACTTATGAAAATAGTTGTGTCCTAGGATCAAACTATTGACTACTTGGCCTAAAAGCTTTGATGGTATGTCGAGATTCATATGTTGGTAAAAGCTTACAGCTTAGAGCCTTAGACTATTGGGTTAGTGACCTAAAATTCTTTTGTTCAATTGTTTACATAATTTCTATTTACTGGTTTAGTTATAATTTGAATTCTAATTGTCTTTATTTTAATTTTTTATTAAAAATATGTTTCTTTTTTCTGATAATTTATAATCCAGCTCTCTTTATTGAGGATTTTTTAAAAACTTTCTTTGAATTTGATGCTATGTATAAGAGTGTGATCTCTTTAGCAAGGAGAACAACGACCATTTATGTTTGTACTTTATAGTCTATTATTAACTGATGAAATGGGAATATTTTCCAATAAAGTTATACCTTAATCCATAATTGGAGAAGATAAACATGTTTCGGAAATTGATTGTGGATTTAATGTGTCTGTGTGAATCCATTTGTGTGTGTAGAATGATCTTGTGAATTAATTTATCATGGAGACATTTATTCTGTCGGCGTATGTGATGTAAAGTGTATTTAATATTTCATAAATGGTGTATTGATGATGCTTGGCGTCTCTTAGGGTAAAATATCCTGTGTTCAAGTTACTGTGATATTAAGCTCAACTCCATAAGGGGATGGAATATGTGATTTTTTTCCCCTTTTCATGTATACTGTGAGTGTAAACCATGATATGAGTGTAACTACGTGATAAAATAATTATTTACTAAAATGAAGATAAAATGTGAATGTACGGTTGTTGGTCACCCATTTATCCAATTCACTATTTACCCTACTCATGATGAAGTTAGATACTTGGGGTCTGTTTGGACTAATCTATAAGGACTTCAAACAAATTTTAATTTAGAGAAGTTTATTTAATTTTTTTCTTCTTAGTTTTCTCTCCTATAAGTCCTTATCAGAAAATGTGTCAATTAATTCCTTTAGTAGAATTTTTGAAATTCAAGACATGATATGTTTCGGATGCGTGAACAAAAGTTTGTGAAATATATTGTATAGATGTATCATATTGGTAAAGAGAGATACATTTATAATTTCTCATTAATGAACCCAATTCATAAAAAAATGATATTTGTGATCACAAAAAGAATATTGTAATTTAAGTTTATATCATACTCAGTCTTGGTTAACTGTATCAATAAATGCATCTTTGGAGAAACTCAACAAGCATTGATTTTTTACAGTAGTTGAAGCATTGCAACTCAATTATAGTTTAATGTTTAGTATTTCGTTTTTCTCTCTTTTGTTACCATCATAGACTAACTTCTAAGTTTGATTTATTAAGGAGATAACTCTATCAATCCAAGAAGTTAAACACCATCATCAGGTGAATCATGCATATCTCTACGAATGTCTGTCTTATCTCCCCTTTATTATGCAATTATTCCCTTCATTTTTTCTAAACAAAAGTCAAAGGTTGGGGATACATATAAATTGATCCTTTTTGGATTTATTTTGTTTTTCTTCTAAGAATGAATAAAGTAGAATGTATTTCAATTGCTCTCTTGATATGAGGAGAACATAGTGCATAAAAGGTTTTAAGATTAGTTTTGCAGATATTTCTCCAAAAGTATCTAGGCCATATCCTAGGAAGCATTCGAAGCTGAAAATTAATGTAACGTGTTTTCAAGTAATTGAATCATTCAATTCAATTCTCCTTAATCAGTGTCTTCAGATATAGAACTCCTTTTATGGGTATGTGTTGTTACTGTGGATGAGTGTGGAAATGTTTTGCTATGTGAATTTTGTGTATGAAGGTTGAATCCAACCCAAACCTGACCTATGTACTTTGATATTTGAGTGAAACTAACTGTAAATGTCAGTAAAATAACTCCAAAGAAAAATCCCTTTTGGTAGGGAGTGAGTGAATGAGAAACAAGAAAGTCAAGAGAAAGTTTGTTTAGTTTCGGTGGTGGTATTGAATAGTTTTGTGAGAGATTCTCTTCGTATCAGTGTAGGTAAATATAGATATAAATATCCTACTTTTAGTGGCTTACTGTTTTATTTGGAGCTAGTTAATAAATAGTGCTTTATTTTATAATATAAAATAGTTTCCATCAGTACTTCAGCACTATGTTGGGTTCAATGAATGCAAGGGAAAAATGTTTATTAGTGTAGTAATTGACAAAATTATGATTTTCAGTTTCTACAAATGTTATTCATGATATGTCTTTTGTCTGTTATATGCAGATGGCTTTTAACTGATAAGAACATAATTTTACACATTAAATATAGCAGATCATTTCTAGGATTCATAAGTCTGCTTATATGCTTGACGCCAATTTCATAATCTCTTGCTTTTCTATCACATTCTTTAAGGCACAAATTTTTGGCTTACTCCTTTTGCTATGATTGTCCCTGTTTGAGTAACGAACATAAATACTTCATCCGAATAGATTTGTTTTTGCCCTTATGTATAGAAACTGGCACAAGCCTATGATCATTACAACCTCGTAAGGAGTTTTCTGTTTTGTTTATCTTCGGCTGCAACAAATGATGTTCTGAATTTGTGAGATTATTTTGTCCATCAAAATTGTAATCATGAGAACACTTGTCCTTGCCCATTACTGGTCTATTATCTGATGCTCAAGAAATCCAAACTTGTAGGTTATTGCATACTTACTAATACTAAAATAGAGTTGTTGGAGTTTGCCATATGGGAATTTGGGTTCAAGCCACCCCAACTTGCCAATTTATCAAGGAGAAGGATCTCTTGAAAATTTGACTGACTTATTCAGCTTAAAATTGTGTGGTTAACCCGATACCATATTGTTAGAAATTTAAGATCTATTGAATGTTTCATATTGATTAAAAAATAAAAAAGATGAACAATATACAAGTAAAATCTTACATGGGTTTGTTCAAAACTCATTGGTGCCTTGGTCTATTGTATGAGTTTGTTTACAACTCATTAGTATCAAATCTCTCCTACACATTTGGAAAAAAAAATGTTAGTAATTCAAGGTGAAATGAAAAACAATTGTTAGGAATTCAAGGTGACCGAATAGTTTCACGTTAGACAAAAGTGAGTAAAATAAACAATGTACAAGTAAAATAACCCATAAATTCCTTACTTTATCTCATTATCTAAAGATTTTAGATCAAAAGTGGTGTCCAATTATTTTATATGGACTTATTTTCGTCTCATTAATGGTGAATCTATTTTGTGTCCACAAAACTAATTTATTAAAATGTTAAAAAATATTCAAGGATCAAAGATCTTCCGACATGTTTTTTTCACATCAGAGTCTTAACAGGATCAAACGCATGATCACATACTGATGTTTGTCGGTCTGAAATTTAAACAGGAGACCGCTTAGCAAACTTATT